ACCTATATTATTTGTAATTATAATTAGGAAAAATTATATATACTTATTATTATATAGTTCTTAAAAATCATATAATAGTGATTATCATATTAATATGATTATAAATAGAGAAATTAAACTGAAAAAAAATAGGTCTAAAAATTTTTGTAACTTTATTAAGGTTGTGATTATAGCTAGGGTGACTATAGCCAGAGTTGACTGTAATATCAATAATTAAAACCTTGATTTCTTTTTAATACTATATAAAACTATATATTAGAATTTGTTTCTTAGCTTTTATAGTTCTCTAAATTTAAACTTGTTATATAACTTAGTATACAGTATATTCAAATTTATTAAATTAAATATAAAAAAGCTAGATCTCTATATAAAATTTTTAAAAATTGTAAATTAAAAAAATTTAATCAGAAAAGTAAAGCATTCTTATCTTAATAGATTTCAGAAATAAATAAATACCTTTATTTGTTTTTTTTTTTAGCTCTAATTCTATAATTACATATTCTATTAGCATGTTATATCTTAGCAAATTTTTGATAATAAAAAAACCCCATATTTCTTTTTTTTTATTCTAATTTAATTTTGATAATGACAATTAAAATTATATATTCTACTCATATATCCTAACAAAAAAAAAATTATTTTGTTTATTTTATTTAACTTTAATTTAATACTAGTTACAATTTTTTATACAAAAAATCTAAATAACTTAGAGTTTTACTATATAATTTAATTACTGCTGAGGTTTCTAGATATAAATTCTAAAGAATTAAATAAATTTATAAAATGAAAACTTTTTTTAATTATGATAAAATTGTCTAATAATAAATCTTAAATACTTCAACTTTAATACTTTTATTGCTAAAAGAACTATTTTTTTTTAATTCATTAAATATTACAATTATAAGTAATTAAAAGATAGCTATGAATACTACTCAAAATTTTAAACAAATGATTAATTCAAATGCACTTATTAATTAATAAATTCTATTTATTTAAATTTATCATTATTTTATAATATATCTATTATTACTAATATAACAATTATGCTATCTATACAAATTACTTTATTAGAATCTCTATAACTACTATACTAATTTAGTAGATATTTTAGTATATTTAAAAAAAATGTTTAAACCTAATTTCAAAAAAACTTCTTCAAATATATTTTAACTTAATTTCAAATATTTAAACTATTAAATTATATTAATATATATATAAGAATAACAATAGTCTTGTTATTTATTATAGGTTTTATCATTTATCATAGGTTTCATTATTTATTATAGGTTTTATTATTTGTTCTTTTATCAATTAGAAATTGCTTAATGAATAGTTTCATCAAATATCAATAATAAATAATTTATTATTTATCAGATATTATTAGTTTATAGATATATTATTATAAGCAAATAACTAGCTAACTACTTACTTAGTTAAGTTTATTTCTGCTTAGTACTTTTTTTTTCTATATTCTTGCTTTTAGTTTTAATATCATAAATTTTTTTTAAACTTTTAATATACTATGCATAGTATATATTCTTTTATTTAGTATTAAGATTTTTATTCTTGTTAGAAAGTTTGATTTGTTTTTAAATTTAAGTTTGTATAATATTTTATTTCTTATAAACCTCTGATATTAAATGTTTATTTAAGTTCAATAAATATAATATTTTATTTATTATTTATATTAAAAGAATATTTAGAACATGCAGAATATGCTATTACTTTATTAAAATTTTGATTACTTATATATATTTTATTTTTACAAGATATTTATACTCTAATTCTAATGAATATATTAATTTCTTGTAGATAACATTATTTATTTAACACTTTAACAATTTTTCTAATATCTTCATCATAGATTTCATATATATATTTAGATTTTAGCATATATTCTTTTTTAGTATAATTCTTTGAATTCTCTTTATAAAAAAATAAATATTTGAATATAAATGTATAGTAGATACCAAAAGTAATGCCTGATTTTGCAAATCAAACAAAAAATAAAAAAATCCAAATTTTATTTAATTTTTTATTATATACAATAAAATTTTTTTTAAAAAAAAGTTAGTATTTGGTCAAATGACCATAGACATCCAATACTACCTGGATTCTTCATAAATTGAGTCTACAACACTATGAAGAATCTATATATCAAAATTTGCTTACTATTCCTTTATTGCAGCCTTTAGGTCATTTGCATTTTTTGAAAAGTTTTCATGATTCTGAATATTGTTCTTTAATAGTTTCCAAATATTTTCAATAAGGTTAAGGTTTGGGGACTTCAACAGTCATGTTAATTCTTCAATTTTCTTCTCTTTAAGCTACTTAATAACAATTTTTGCAGTATGAACTAGATAATTGTCATACTGAAACACTACATTTGGATCTAATAATGAATGAACAGAAGCAAGATAAGGTACAAGGTAGTCTTTGAGGACCTTAATATATATTTCTTTATTAATTTTTTGTTTTGGTTCTAAATATTTATTAAAAAAAACTAACGATCCTTTGTTTTCATCTACAAAACAACTCTATACTATTAATGACATCTTCTCACACTTAAAACTCAAAACTAAACACTCATTTTTATACCTTTCATTCTTATAATGCTATATTCTAACCTGATAGGATTGTTTACCAACTTCTATACTTTTTTGTTGGAAAAAATAAGTTAGGACCAATCATAAATATTCTTATTTTTAAATTTTTTGTACCAACTTTTCTGAGTGATTATATTAACACTAGTCAAAAATGATTTTTTTACTGCTATATGTGAATGAACCCCAGCAAATGCAAGGCTCTGACTGCAGTTAACATGCTGCATTGAAGGCCAAGATTATTCACAATGTTGCACAACAACTTACACCTTGTTCTCAATGCTTTTTTTATAAGGCTTATCTTTTCTTGCTAATTTAGGATCAGGAAACATCCAGACCATGGTAAATTATTGATTGTTTTGGTTTTCTTGTATTTATTAAGGAGCTGTCAAACTGTCATAGAGTCACGACCAATTTTATAGACAACTTGCTCAGCGCTCATATCGTTGATATAAGCAAGGATCATTCCTTTGTCTTTTTCAGTCATTTGGGTACATAGCATTTTGGAGGTTTTTTTTTTTTTTCTTGCTAGACGTTAGTTGAAAGTTTAAGAATCGTTTAAAAAAAAAAATTGCCCCAAAAAATATAAAAATGAGGTAAACACAGCCTATTTATTTGTGCAGGTGACTAGATCTGCAAATCGGGCGTTACTTTTGGTGCCTACTATACATAAATAAAATAAACAAAAAAAGAAATATTTTACAAATTCAAAAAAATAATAATAAAATAAAACAGATAAAATAAGGAAATTAAGCTAAGCTAAATTATATTCATTACAATATAAGCCCTACCAAAATCTACTTATACTCTTTTTCTAATAATTCTAACCCTAAGTTAACTATAAAAAAAAAACCTATCAAGAAAATTTTAAAAATCGGATATAAAATAAGTCAAATTTCATAATGATCTGCCACAATAATTAACTTTAGGGTTTTATAAAAAAACATCTATTGTTACGGTATCATTTAAAATCAACTTAAGATGCGTTAAATTTTGTACAGTTAGCTTAGAATCCCATTTCAACTTAGTAGATTCTAAATTTACGGTCTTCTATTCCTGACGCAATTGAAACTCTTATAAATTTACCTTCTAAATAATCTTTCACGTTTCATTTGTTCTATCAATAGACATTAATATCGTGTATAAAATTCGCCAAATATTATTTCTTTACATTTCTAGTTTAGTCGATAATTATCGTGTGTACACATTTGTATTTTACTCGCAATATTTGGTTTTCTCCTTAGCGTTATTTTGAAAACTACTCAGTTAACCTACTGAGTATAATCATTATTTACATAGTAAATTTACAGAATATTACCAAGAAAAAAATTTTATACTTTCAAATTATTTTACTCAGTTATTAAACTGGACTTTACTGAGTTAGTACTTGGATCCGGATAGGGTTATCCAAATAAGTTATCTGGATATCCAGATAAAAGTTTGGCTAACGGATAAGTAATCCGGATAAGTAAAATTGTAACAGATAAATTATCCAGATTATTCGGATATCCAGTTTTCCATTACAGCTTTTATCATTATTTCTGGGACACCTGATAATTTTTGATCGCTACCGAATCATTCTCAGTTGCATCCGGTAAATGGCCTAATCCCTCGTAAACTATATTACTGTCTTCAGATCCTCAGTCTGAAGACAACGATATAGTTTCCGAGAGATTAGGCAATTTACCGGATGAAATTGAAAATGATTCGGTAGCGAGCAAAAATTATCAGATGTCCCAGAAATAATGATAACAGCTGTAATAATTTAATACTAAATTAGATTTAAACGTGAAATAAGTATATTAGTGTTGCATTAAAGTACAAACTAGTGATTTAAGCTGCATGGTTTTGGTCAGCTGGCTTAGCCAGCCGACCAAAACATCAGCTAAGCGGCTTATATTAGATTTTTCCTTATGCCAGCCATACTAATTCTTAATTCTGGCCACTAATTCTTAATTAATTCCTAATGCCGGGCCATATTTAGGGATGTTATTACATAAATTACAATTTACAATACATGTAATTTTACGTAAGTTTCAGAAAATTAGATTTCATGTAATTTTATCATGTGATATTAAAGTACCAGTATTATGGAATTTGACTGGCATTATTACTAGTATTTGTGCTTAGTTTATTTTATAGGAATGTAATATTTGTTAGCATATTTATATTGTATTTTTTTGCAATTATTGTTGCACTTATTATATATTAAATTTAAAGAATTATTTCCAATATATGTTTAAGTAGCTTCCTATAATTTTGATATTAAATTTTTTGACAACAAAAAAAAAGATTTAAGCTAAAAACTTAATAGAATTAAAATCTCGCAATTAGCAAAATAATTAAAAAAAAAATTTTTGAAATCACAATTATAAGAAAGTAAAAAAAAAATAATATTCAAGTAGCCGTAGTACTTAAATATTCATCAAATTCATACTCACCATTATTAAACATATTAATAAGCCTATTAGAAAAATTGGTAATATTGTCATCGTCAAGTACTTCAATTTTATTATTCTCTGAATCATTTCTTGCTTCTTGATTATTTAAATAAACCAAATCTCTATCAACTTCTACATTATTGTTATGTAAATCTTTAACTAATATAGATCTTTTTAATTGATGCAGTATTCGTGTGTTCCAATATATGTAAACAAGTTTTTCTGCTTTTTGAGAAAGCAATCGATTACGTAATTTAGAATGAATAAATCCATATGCAGACCAATTGCGCTCACTAGCTGCTGATGTTGCTGGAATTGACAGGACTTTTTTTGCAACTTGGCTTAAAATTGGATACTGCATGTCTAATAAGTTCCACCAATTAATTGGCTTTGAAGTAAAATTGTCCCACAAATACTTCTTAGCAAAACCACCTGATTTTCCAAGATATTCAGATAATTCATTTAATACTTGATCTTCATTATCAACATCTGCAATTCAAATTATTTCAGCATTAATAATATCTCCCCATTTTTTAAAATCAAGATCCTTTCCTTGGTACCGTGGATCAAGAGTATAAGCAACAATAACAGCTGGATTATATAATATATTAACCCATCGATTTCTAGCAGCTTGCAAAGTTTCATTACACAGATCTTCAGAAATTTGTAAATTAGTTGTAATAGTATTTTTTTTTTTTTTTTTTTTTTTTTTTATAATGCCATAGTAGAAACTTTATTTATAAGATTAGAACATATGTTCGAAATT